CAGTCTTTCCTTCCCCTCCATCTGCTATGAGGTGAGCAGCTTTCCTGTCTCACCCCTCTCCATGATATTCCTGCCTTGTCATGGAGCGTAGGCCGTGGAGCCAAGGGGACCGTGGGTTGACACTTTTGAAACTGTGAACATAAATCTATCTTTCCACATTGAAAAGAACAGGTTATACCTACTTTTTCTCCTAATTCTCATTTTCCCCTCCTACATAGAAAAATACACCCTGGCTATTGAGTTTCAGCACATACTACAGAAGTTAAATTTTTCATTAACTGACAAATGACAGTTGTGCATTCTTTCCTGCCTGTCAGGCAATATTTTAAACAGGAAATCAAGACGTTCGGAGTCTGGTTTCACACGGCTGCTTTAATTTCTTGTCTGTCAATGTGTATAGATTGCCATGCTGTACAAACGAATAGCTGCTGGGCAGCACAACACAAGAGTGCCCGTGACTCCTCCTAGGAAGCTGAGAGAATGCTTTCTGCTTATATTTACTGCAGACTAATTTTGCTCATCTGCACAACTGATGGAAGTGGAAATTGCCCCCCAGTTCTTTGGCTCCCCCAGTCCCAGTCCTCACGCTCTTAGGAAACAAAGACAACTGTGTCTAATGTGAGACACTTCATGTGTCAGAACAAAATGGAAAAAAAATGTTTAACGTCCTCTGGAATTATTCTGGAATCAGTAGGCTCGTGGTTGAATTTAGACATGCCTGTGTGTCTTAAGCACCTAGCATATAAGTCAAAAAGGGAATTTAAGAGAGTTAGCAAATTCAGTTCATCCATTCCACTGTCTATCTTTCCACAAGCATGTGCATGGGCACTTAGCAAACATGCTGATACTCTCTTCTCTGCCTCTCTCAAATGTTCCTCTTTATACCAAAGAGCCATTTGTTTGCCCTTAGCAGCAAATAGCACACTCCAGCCTCCTTAGGCTACCCATGGAAGCCCAGAATCTAATAAAGACTGAAAGCCAGTGAGTGAGGCTGATGGAGTGGTTAAAAAAAAAATCACTGCAATGTCAATTTCTTAAATGGGTTAAGTTAGGTTGAGGACTATAGTACAGAAGCAGTTTCTGTTCCGAAATAACCTAAATTATTTAAACATTTCCTATGATAACACGCCCTAAATAGACCTTGAAAGAAAACTAAACACCATATGTCAGATATCAGTCTGATTCCTTCACGTAGGTCCACTGCCCAAAATCGACTCTGCAGGATAGCAAAGGCATAACTCCTTGTAGACACCGGTATAGACATGAGACTGGGATACCTGAAAGGTCTTTGAGATGTGAGGAGGAACTTGTTCTCTCCTCTCTGCTCATCCACTGGAGTTTTCCCTTCTGTCTGTAGGACATGTGTCTGAGCTGTGGACCTCTACCACCAGTGCAGAGGCTGTCCTAGAAGGTGGTATTTGTCTTAGTGGGAAGAATGGGGCAGGACCATGTGATTTTGCATTCAACACACCAGTCAGTGGTCCTCAGATCTTGTGTGTACATCAGAATTCCATGGAGGACACTGCCCCAGGCTTCTGAGACAGTGAATCTGGCTGGAATAGAGCCTAAGAGTTTTCATTTCTAAAAAATCTCAGGGCTGGAATATGGCTCATGGTAGAGTGGTTGCCTACTAGGAGCAATGGGTTCCATGCCTAGTGCCTGCTTGTCCCTCACTTCAGGTGATGCCAATTGCATCATGAAGTGAGAACTGCAGCACTACAGCATCCCTTTGGATCCCTTCAGGAGAACACTAGGGACAGCCAAGTCCAGCACCCAGGTTCCTTCATCCCCTTGAGGAGTATGATTTTTCTTACTTCTCTCTGGCTGGTTTTTGTTCCATCCTCTTATTCTCTTTCTTCAATATAGTGCATTCTCTCTCTCTCTCTCTCTCTCTCTCTCTCTCTCTCTCTCTCTCTCTCTCTCTCTCTCTCTCTCTCCCTGCCTCTCTCTTTCTCTCTGTCTCTCTCCATCGTTCCTTTTTGAACATTGGATCATCTCATTCTGTCTCTTTACCTCCCTTTCATTCTCAAAAGCTCAAGCCGGGTCCTATTCTCCGTGAAAAGATTGTTCAAAGCAGCTCAAGTCTTCATCTTTTCTTTTTCTTATTCTGGGTTTTGTGCTCTGTAGAAAATTTTAATTATCCTCAAAATGACTCACAGGGCTTCTCTCCTCACAGAAGCTCTTGTGGAAGGAACTATTCACAGATGAAAGTAGTAACGATTTTTAACATGTGCCATGTTAAAACAGACACTAGCCATTTTCCATATATTAACCCCATTAGGTATTATTATTATCATTATTATTTACCCATTTTGTGAGTGAAGAAAACTGAAGAGAAGAGAGGATGCATAATTCACTCAAAGTCGGCCACACAGGAGCACCTCGCTGGGATTCAGGCTCTGGCCACCCGAGTTCTTTGTAGCCATCAGTGACTTTGTTGTGACAGCCCCTGTGCATGTAGGAAAGCACTTGACAGCAGCTGGTTTGTGATTTGTTCGGCTCCCAGTAAACAGCCGTCAGGACCCCTCCGGGGGAAGGGCCAACACCCAAGCGGTTACTGAGGGAGCTGACCCTCAACCTCCGTTCTCCTGTGATCATCTCACATCGATCAGTGTATTTGACATTGCTTTAAGCGAACAGACATGCAGCTCAGAGAACAGGTGGGCACGGTGGCTGCACAAATCTGAATTGCCCTTGTCCTACTCCAGTCATCTTCCGTTATTAGCATGGACAACGGCCCCCTGCTTGAACAGTGGGAGAGACTTATAAAGGCGGACGCTATTTAATAAATGATTATTACATGGTAAAATCTGTTGCTCACTTGGGGCCCCAGTGAATAACCTGGACTTAATAGCATTGCAGAGCACATGGAATATGCCAGTAGCCAGGTGTGAACATCGAGAGTATAACATGAAAATACATGCTTCTGCCTCTTCTCATAGCAGCACGTTTACAAGTTAAAGCGATAACAACAGTGCAGGCAACTGAGAGTCAGATACTCACTTGGTGAACTCTGCAAATCAGCCGTTTCTATGTGGCTGTCTTTGCGCACAATGGAATCTCTTCCTTTGGCAGCTCTAGTGCTTTCCCAACAAACAAACATGTTTGCTGGTTCACTGAAAGCCTGCAGTCATCCTTAGCGTGGCCTCTTTTAGCATAAGACGACGTAACACTCTCAACTCAGAGACTGATACACAGGATTCATCACACATCAGAATTGTGAAGACACTGGGCAGTTGTGTTTGTCAGCGCAGCGATCTTTCCTTACAGATAAACAACTTACTGAACTCGGGCTTTGCCAGACGTTTCAGATCTACAGCATTCATTTCTGTGCATGGCTTCCTTCTGCTCCAAAGAGGAAATGGTCTTATAGGCAAGAAGCGCTGAAGTCATAACTCTGGGGAACACATTTCAATCTGTCACCAGACAGTATGAGCACCACAGGGTTCACACAGAATATGCAACTCCGGTATCACCGGGCTCCACCCCAGGTCCCCATCAGGCTAATACAAGCCAACGAGCCCCGGCAACTGGCATGTGGACGGTGCAGGGTTTACAATGCTTTAGGACACCTGAGCCATTTTATGTGAGATAAGTTAGGGGGACAGGACCCCTTGGGGAGCACAGAAGCACAGGTCAGCCTAATCTCCCCATGGAGCAGCCTGGCCCAGTCCTGGGAGAAGGGCAGCAGAGAGGTCGCAGTGGTGCTAGCCATACAGGAGGGAAGGAGGTGCTGACTGAGCAAAAGATTTTTTGCACAGATGCAAGATGCACCATGCCTTGATGAGCAGAGCCTAGATCTGACAAGACCTGGCTATAGCGCTGTCCAGCTGCTTGCCTGTAAGGCCATATGCTTGGCCTCATCTATGAAGCAGAATGCCGTTGGCTACTTCTCAACCTACCGCTGAACACTTAAATATACAGGGCAGGTCCTTTATCCATCATCCGCACTAATTTTTGAGGGGGATGGGAAAATGAGTCACTGACCCCAAACTGTATATTCCTTTACTTGAATATTTCCCCTGTTCTCCGCCCTCAGTTACAATACCAGGGACTAGCAAACTAAGTTTTATGCTGTACACAAATGTATTGCTGGAGATCTCTGCCTTCTCTGTGCTTTGGTGTTGATATGTTTGCTGCTGGGGTGGCAAGCCACTAGGTGTCCAGAACTTCCATGTTGAAGAGTCTTCGGGTGGCTGAGGCCATTACTGGGACTCCTTTCTTACAGAGGTGTCTGGCTTCCCCTGGAAATGTGGCAATCTCGCTAAACAGCACAGAAGCTCTGACAGGCTCTATTTAGCTTTTGGTCAATTAGCTGTTGTCTCTCCACCACAGAAAGGAGGTTAGTTGAAAATGCGACGCTCCTTAGGACCGTAGGTGTGGGGATGGGTGCACACTTAGAAGCATCGACACTTTGCCCCCCAAATATTTATTCCCTCTTAATTCACAAAGGGTGAAATAGCTACCTTCTTGGTTGACATCATTTCTGTCCTCTTAGTCTGTGCTAGATTCTGCGGTGAACAAGTGTGTGGGTGTTTACTGTGCTCTTCAGCTTTCGGAGCTGAGGGGTTCAGAAGGCTTCTGCAGACCTTAGGCTTCTGAAGAGCCTTCCAGTGAGATCTCTGCTGCACTGCTGGCTAAGCATCCTGTCCCAGGTGCCCAGGTGCATTTTGACAACTAATAGAAGGAAAGTCTCTACTTCTGCATAGTGAACACTCCACCAATTAAACGAGCACCAAATGCTTCTTGCCAGCTTGTCCTTAGTGTAATTTAAAGACAGTTGTTCATCAATCACTCTTTTCCTTTGTGTCTAGTCCTACATGGAAGGGGCAGAGCTCCTGGGTGGTCTGTGGACAACCCAGCCACATTATGGCATACCCTCAATTATTTGTTCTCTGTCTTAGAGGAGAAACATGTAAAAGAGTTCGTGGGTAGACACTGTCCTTCCATGACTAGGTTCTTGTCGATACTCCCTCCAAGAACAGAGTAGGCACCCAGCAAACAGTACAAACAGGAGGTACTTTATTATCAACCAGGGATGAACAACTCTTAAACAGATGGCCTCCGGAGATTTGGATGAAACAGGCTTGACTTCTCCGCAGGGGTGGTAGAAATGGGAAGCCCCAGGGCCATGTTACAGCCCTGCAAAGTGTGACAGCTAGAAGTCCTCCGGGGCTTTGGGTGCCAGCTGAGGGAAGACCTTTGCAGAGCAAATTTGCAGGTCAGGATAGGAGTGGCAGGTCCAGGTTTCCTGTCTCTTGCAGTTATTGAAAAGTAGAGTCCCAGAGCTCTGGTGGTGGAGGCAGGAATGAGTCCCCCTGCCAGTGACTGTTGTTTAGTATGGTAGGAGTGAGCTCCCTGGCAGGCCAGAAGCCTTCTCCTGAGGACTATGAGATTTATCGAGTACCAGCTTAGCCTTGATTGGATATATCTCTTAACTACATTCAACCAATAAGGAAAGAATTGTAAAAAAAAGTTAGCATCACTTCTTGTTGCTATGACAATCATTGCAGGCAGTAGTGTGCTACATTTGATCTGCTTATGCCCTCTGGGATCTCTCACTGTCAAAAATAGGGCCTTTTGGCAACTGTTTTGTTGATTTGTTTTGTTGTTGTTGTTGTTTTGTTTTTAAATCTCCTTCCCACCTTTTCCCCCTGAAGCCTGGGTTTCCTTCCTTAAAGAGAACCCCATCCCAGGTGGGAAGCTCCATCCTGGAGAATCTCCTTGCTCTCATCACTAGGAATCTCTTTTCCCAGTTCTTCGCCCACTGTGCTTCCCAGGGTAGATTTGACCAGGGAGAGGCACCCCCAGGAGCTGTTCAACGTGGAGAAGGAGGAAAAGCCATCTTTCTCTGGTGTCCGTTGTGAGCAATGAGTTGGATCCCTGTTTTCTGGAGAAGCTCAGTTGGAGCAGTTGGAGCACATCAGCAGCTCCAATGGTCTTTGAGAACTTTGCACTTCTCGGTTTCTTCTATTCTTTATTAACCCAGTCCTTCTAATGGTTGAGCAAGTCTAAGTCCTCTAGTAATTTTAGGGATCTAGACCAGTGATAGGGAATTTGCCCTACACATGCTGGGAGCTAGATTTGAGTCTCAACAACAACCACACACGCGTGCGCGCGCGCGCGCGCACACACACACACACACACACACACACACACACACACACACACACACGATTGTTTAAAGATCTTTTGAAAGCAAGTAAGTGGAATGTTTTTTTCGTTCCAAAACCTGCTACTTGGTGAAGAAATGCTCAATAGGCAGTCTTACTGGGCATGTGCTGAAGTCTTCCACTTTCCTGAGTGGTTCTGATGTATTGTCACGAAAGATCAGCATGCCACTGCATGCGTGGGGTGCAGGAGGAGGTGGGGCTGTGAGCAAAGGGCTGTAGTTTTTAGATTCCTGCCGCTGCTGCACACAAGCTATTTCAAACATGAAAACAATGGCCGTGGATAGCCGAGCTTAAATGGGCACCTGTCAGTTGAAAAGATTTGGGTTTCAAAAGACAGAAAATACTGTTAAGCTGGCTTGTGTTACAAGGAATGTTGTCTCAGTGATACGAGGACCTAGGGTCCTGCCTGCTCAATTCTGTTGCCTCGTACTGGTACCAGTTCTGTTCTGAGGCCATTCTTACATAAACAGGATGAGTGTTGTTTCCCTAGATGAAACATCCAGTGATGGGACATGAAATGTCCAGTACCAGGAGAGCTCACAGGGAACCCAGCCTCTGATGTTTGTTTTTCCAGAAACAAGGACTTTCCCATGAGTCCCACTGCATTTGGTTGTTCATAAGAACAACATTGGCCAGAGCACGTGACACACTCACCACTAAACCTATCAGGAGAAAGTGATCACAGTCTAGTTCCCCCGGGATTTAACCCTCACACCTGAGCTAAAACCTCTCCTTTGTGTCGGGTTGGTGTGGAATGGCTGTTTGATGCTGGGATTTTTATCACTAAGAAATGAGGAAGTAGGCTGGAGAGATGGCCCAGTGGCTAAAAGTACTTGTTGCTCTTGCAGAGGACCTGGGTTCAATTTCTAGCACCTACACGATAGCAACCAACTGTCCATAACTCCAGTCTCAGGGGATCCAACACCCTCTTCTGACCTTTATGGGTACCAGGTTCAAATGTAGTACCTGTACATATGTACAAACAAAATATAAAATACATAAAATAAAATAATAAAATAAATAAATAAATACATTTTTTAAGAACTAATAAGGACAGAGGACTCATTTTCTCACGCCCTTCATTCACTATAGAAAAAAAAGGGCTATTAGTAAATGGGAAAGTATTTATAAAGCTCAAGACACACTTCAGTGTGCTGTGTATGAGGACACATGTCACGGATAGCTTCCACCTTCAAACCGTCACAAACTACATCAAATAGTGATGGTGTACATTGGTTTCTTAGGAGACTGATCCAAAAAGGCAGTTACTCACTGGGACAGGAAGCTAGGAGAGATTCTAGCACCTGCCGGAGTTGTGTTGTTCTCGACAACCACAGACCTCTGGGGTGTCTCTGCAGGACTCAGACCTTGTTTTGCAGTATCATGGGTGCCGCCACCTCCCGTTGGCACCACAGCCTGTGACAAAGTCTTTTGGGCATGTAGGCTTTGGGGGACATTTAAGATCTACACCATAACACTGGGTAAATTTGCATTCAGTTGCTTCCAGAATTCTAGTTATAGTCCTGATTTTGATAAGAGCTACTTTACCACCAAAAAGTCGGGGGACAGAAAAAGCAGCTCAGCATTGTACTGGGCATGCAGCAACGGAATTCCATTAGTCTGCTGGCCCTTATTCTTCAATATTGTGGGGCAATCAGTAACTGTTACCAACATCAGAAACAAGCCTAAGAGACCTTCCTAAAGGGTGTGACCTTGTCCCTAAAGGGTGTGTCCTAAAGGGAGTCCCTGGGATGATCTGGCCCAGCGTTTTCTAGACATTATTAGACATTCTCCAAAAACAAATAAACAACATAACAGTGACTCTATGGCTGCGTTAGGGAAATTCTAGATTAAATAAGTTCATTGTCTTCAGGAACTCATCAAGCTTTTGATACAATGTGATAAGTTGTGGCTTTTCTAGAGGATTATGTTCATGGTTTCGTAAATACATCTTGCTAGAGAATACAAAATGGAATATGAAGGTGGGCAGGTAAGTCATCAGATTAGAGCACTTGCTGCGCCACATGAGGGCCCGAGTTCAAATCCCTAGGACCTATGTAAAAAGCTGGGCGTGGTTACAGGTGCCTGCAACCCCAGCATTGTAGGAAGGCTAGGGAATGGGGACAAGGGTATTGGGGCTAGCTGGTCACTAACCCAGCTCTGGATTCAGTGAGAGAACTTGTCTCAAGGGAATGAGGTGAAGAGTGATAGAACAGGGTACCACGTCCTCCTAAGGCTTCTACACACACACACACATCAAATATGCATCTGCATACATAGACATTCGCATACACCACACAACACACACACCACCACCACCACCACACACCACCACCACCACTACCACACAACACACACCATGACCACCACCACCACTAGAATATGTTAAATTGTTATGCAGAAACCACATTGGGAATGCTGCCCACAAGCTTCATTTTATGGCTAAAACAACCAGGTCTGTTGGCAGAAGGGAGGTTTCTAGGCTTACCTCCAGATGCCTCAGTAAACAGGCGGGATAGTCAAAGGGAGCTGAAAATAACATAAAGTGGTAAATTTGAGGGAGCAGGTTAGAGAAACAGCAAAGCATACTGAGACACCCGGGGAAGCAGCAGCAGGAAGCAGCCCTCTTGGAACAAGCATGGGTGGGAGCCTTGCCATGGGGCCCAGCGAGAGCGGAAGCCCAGAAGAGGGACTGCCTGGGAGACCTATGTTGTACCAGGTAAGGGGATAAACACAGAACCCCATCTTGTTGTCTCTCACTGGTGACTCCTGTGAGCCAAACCTAGGAAAGACTAGCTGGAGGTCGGGTGCCAGGACATACAGGTACAGAGGTAACCCTGAGCACAGACCACCTGTTTCTATGGGAAACTGCAGAAGAATTAACACAACCTCACATCACAGCTAGTTCTGCTTTACTCTTCTTATTAGAGAAATGTTTGACCTCTGTCTTTCACATGCACCAACATACAACTATGCTACACATACACCCTCGTGTGTACACACACACACACACACACAGACACTTCATATAGAGAAGAAAAAAAACCTCAACATGTAAAAGGAAAAAAAAAGCCGGGTGGTGGTGGTTCATGCCTTTAATCCCAGCACTTGGGAGGCAGAGCCAGGCGGATCTCTGTGAGTTCGAGGCCAGCCTGGGCTACAGAGTGAGTTCCAGGAAAAATGCAAAGCTATACAGAGAAACTCTGTCTCGAACCCCCGCCCAAAAAAAAAGGAAAAAAAAAGATTAAAAACTGAAAACAGAGCAAGTGGGTTTCAAAGTGAGGTGCAAGGATTCTTAGGGTCTCCGCACACTAGATCCCAAAGGCCAGTTTATACGACATGGCAATTGATATTAGTTAGCTTTACACTCTGACTCTTACAAGCAAGCAGGGGTTTTTGAGAAGCTTAGTGTGAGCAATGCTGTTACTGTTCTGATGTCTGATGGAGGCTGCGCTGTGCATTATAATTGAATGTCTAATGCAATAGATGATAGTCATGGCCCAATCAACCAAATCTCTGTGGGGTCCTGCCTAACTTTATGTTACTGACTCTGCATCCACATGTTGTACAACTACTGGTACAGAGATGGCAGAGTAGGCATGCATGTCCATGAGAGCGAAAGGAACTCATTTCCAATCATCGAATCTCCCTTCAGGTTACATGAAAGAAAAAGGCTACTGGAAGCATAGAGCTTGAGTGAAATCGCATCTGGTGCTCGAGGCGTGAGTTGGTCAAGTTTTCTAGCTACAGAGGACAAGAAGCCCCTTGTGCATAGTTCTTGCATAATGGTCTCAATTCATAAATCATGCAACAGGGACACTGAGTCATCAAACCAAACATCTTTGTTACAAGGCTAGTATGTTAGTTTCCTGTTTCCACATAACAAATAGTGACACAATACCAATTACTATTATCTCCCTGCATTGTGGATCAGGCTCAGAAGATATTACATGGAATATTCCTTTGTACTGTGTAAATATATGTCGATGTGATTGGTTTAATAAAGAAGCTGAATCGCCAATAACTGGACAGGCTAGGTAGGGTTGGGTAGAAGGACCAGACTAAAGACACTGGGAAGAAGAAGGGCTGAGTCAGAGGAGTCATCAGGCAGACACGGAGAGGAAACAGGAGTTTAAGAGCAAAGAGAGGTAATACCATGTGGCAAAATGTAGATTAATATAAATGGGTTAACTTAAGTTGTAAGAGTTAGCTAGTAACCAGCCTGAGCTATAGGCCAAGCATTTATAATTAATATTAAGTCTCCATGTTGGTTATTTGGGAACTGGCAGGAGAGAAAGAAAAGTCTGCCTACAATATTGGCCATTAACATCCTCATCTGGGGCCAGGCAGTGGTGGTACATACCCTTAATCCCAGCACCCGGGAGGCAGAGCCAGGCAGATCTCTGTGGGTTCGAGGCCAGCCTGGTCTACAGAATGAGATCCAGGACAGACATCAAAACTACACAGAGAAACCCTGTCTCAACAAACAAAACAAAACAAAACAAAAAATCCTCATCTGGAGGCTTCACTGGATGTGCTGTTGTTGACAAAACTCATTTCTTCATGGTGGCTGAGTCCTGACACAATGCTTCCTCAAAGCCAGCGACAAAGCCAGCTTGCTTTTAAAAGGAGATCTAGGTCTGATATAGCCAGGATAAACTTTTTTGTTTAAAAGTCAATTGATTAAGGAACTTAATTACATCTACAAAACCCTTCACATATTTCCTGTGAAACGACATGATCATCTTTGCCATAATTCTCAATGAGAAACAAATCACAGTTTTACCTCCTATACACATGGTGAGGGGATTATGGGAGGATGTATGAAGTCATCCTATGATGTGTCTGCCACAGATGGGGACAAATCTAGCCATAAACACAAAGGAGTTAATGTCATCGCACTGGGAGTTAGTAAAGGTACATGATTAAACCTAACAATAAAAATCCAGAAAGAACTCCCTGGCTAGATCCTGCTCATGTCAGCAACATTCTAGATGTTCAAGCAAGGCACTGCGGCCAACTCAGAAGTAGAAATACAGAAGCATCGTTTGTTCAGGGCAAGTGAGGCAGAGATAAAGATGATGGACACTGAGTGAAGGTGAAGAGGCACCAGCACCCTCCAGCTCTGCTCCTGGTTGGTGGGGTGATGCATCATCTCGAGCCTAGTCATCCCGGCACATTTGAATCATGCTGTAAATGTCAGCTAGGGTTAAGAAGCGGCCTCAAGGGGAACCGGTACGTATGAGGTTTCAGTCACCGCTGTTTGTCTTTGAGTTTGCTGGGATATATTATACTATTTCTCTAGTTTCTCTTTCTGGAAATTGCTGAGAAAAAAAGCTGAGGTGGGATGCCACAGGAACTTTTAAGAAACAAACTAGTCTGTCATTTGACAAACACAGACTTTCCCCAGGTAATCACGGATGAGGCAACTCTGTTCATGTTGCAGAACACCTGTGGAAGTAATCAGGGTGACTGACTCATCATCAAGAGGACAAATGTCACCTCACAGGTGGGAAAAGATGGCTCCAATCACACTGCTACATTCTGCACACTCTCTATTCCCAGGAAAAAGAAAGAAAATCACGACAGTGAAAATCATGACAGCCTTGCTGAAAAGGTCAAAATCTTAAGTCTCGATAGCTGTTTGTACATCCTGTTATTGACATTGACCAGGGCCGTTTACTGTGGAGTACAGGACTGGACCCAGACACAGAGTAGAGTGGGTTAAGGACCAGAGGGGAAGAAGACAAGGGGCCTCAGAGGCAGAGGTGACCTATTTAAAGTGTTTCCCAGTGGGGTTGCTCATTTTTGTTCCAAATAAATTTTTTATGGCCAAAGTGAATATTTTCCAAATAACTATCAAGAAACACCCCCCCCAACTCTGTCTTTAATATTTTACTTTATTCTATAACAACTCAGTCTGGGTGCATTTGTTTTAGTGAGTTACTTGAATGCGAAGGGGTGCTCATTAGGAAAAAAAAAATCAAGCAAATTGACAATATTTGCCACATAGTAACAGGGCCATTTGTTAACAAATTCACTTATAAGATGGCCTGGCCAAAGTTTTAAAATCATAAAAAATTCAATCAATGTCAGCAGTTATTATTCAAGCCTGATTTCATAGACATGTTATCATGAAATCTTGAAAGGAATTTATATTAACAGAGTACTTTAAGTATTGATTTTTAAAAATCCAAAATTCACCGGGCGGTGGTGGCGCACGCCTTTAATCCCAGTACTCGGGAGGCAGAGCCAGGCAGATCTCTGTGAGTTCGAGGCCAGCCTGGGCTACCAAGTGAGTCCCAGGAAAGGCACAAAGCTACACAGAGAAACCCTGTCTCGAAAAACCAAAAAAAAAAAAAAAAAATCCAAAATTCACTACTGACAGATGTAATACGATCCAAATTTTAAGATTTATCAATCAGAATTATTGTCTTTCTAATTCTTTTTATAAAGCATGGCTCATAACCTGTCAGTCTAATCATTTCATTTGGCTCCATGTCTACCAAAACTTTCTGGAAACATGACAGTTCTTTTTCTTAATTATTTTTTCAATTAATCCCCTTCCATTTAAATGCATTTTTTTTTCAAAAAGCAGCCATGGGGCTGGAGGTAGATGAGTCATATCCAGGGAGATATAGCAATTAAAGTATTGTGGTGCTGCTCCGAGCAGCCGAGCAGCCGTCATTTTAAAGATGAAAGCTTCATTTTTTTCCCCCATCCACAACGCCAGTTTCACCCAAGCTGCTGTGCTGAGTGCCACATGCACTTAAAAATTACATGTTTAAACTACTCAGGAGCAAAGGGAATATAAACCCCTCATCATAATAACGTGGGTGGACTGTAAATCCATGGAGCCCTTTTACGGTCGAAGGCTAGGTCTGTTCAAAACATACTGTTCATAGAAGTCTGTCAGGCAAACACAACAGTATAAATGAGAAATACTCACTGTAGGAGCTTAAGGCAGCAAAGTCTAAAAATTTAGAGTAAATAGCAGCTGAAATATCCTCACCTTGGCATTCCTGTCCAAGCTAGCCCAAGAAGAAAGCCCACATTAATTGGTACGCTCAAAGAAACAGGCACTTAGAGCAATTAAGTCAGATGCAGGAAAACAGCCCCGCATTGAAAAGCTGACAGCGGGACCCGGGCACAATATCCGTAATGAGTGGCTGAGGATGTTAATGGATGGAGGCTTGGAGACTAATGGACAATTAATGTAAAACAGATGACTTCCCTCGGAGATGACGGTCTTTTGAAAGGCGCTTCACCTGCTGCTCGAACAAATGCAGCTAAAATGAAATGGAGGGGGGAATGAGGGCTCGCTGAAGGGAGCGGCAGCCAGCGTTGGTGTCCCTGTTTTCTCCTTGAATATTTTCAGAATCTAGGTCAGAGATCTAACGGGTCTTTGCGACGGGAGGTGCAGCCCCCTCCTCTGGCCTCCTGCCATCAGGACCGCCTGAGCTGGAGGGCTGCTGTGGGAAGCCTTCTGGGGAGAGGCCCTGGGACCTCTCCTTGTGTCCAGGGGGGAGACAGTGCATGTCCTGGTGTTGCAGAGTAGTTCAGAATGACACTGAGTGTCCTGAATGTAAGCACTGCGGTGATTCTCAGCCTTCCTAATGCTGTGACCCTTCAATACAGTTCCTCATGCTGTGGTGACCCCCAACCATAAAATTATCTTGTTGCTACTTCATAACTGTAATTTTGTCACTGTTACACATCATAATGTAAATATCTGATACACTAGATATCTGATATGCAACACCTGTGAAAAGGTCATTCGATGCTGAGAGGGGTCATCACCCACAGGCTGAGAACCACTGCTGTAGAGGGTCTCATGGAGATTTTGAAACCAAGGTTTCTTTTCCAGTACTTACTAAGGTAAGCCAGAGTCCTTCATACCTGAGCTTTATAGTCACAGATAGGCTTGTCCCAAATGACAAGTTAAACATGAAAACCAGAGAGTGAAATCAGATGTCTGGGAAGAGAGATTCCTTTCCTCTAGGGACATTCTGCAGTGGCACTTATTTCCTTCCATGTGACCCCCAAAGCCTGCCCGAGGCTCAGAGCCAATTTGACTGAGCCTGAGTCCCAGAGGCAGCAGCTAGGTGCCAATGCAGAAAAGCGGAAGAAGAGAAGATGTGCCGAGCAGGCCAGGACGGAACTATGATCTGAGAGACAAGCTCATCCCTGGCAGTTGTCTATCTCCCAGCACTCTGTGTCCAACCCTGAGGACACAGCGCCTTGATGTGGTCTAAGTCACTGACACTGTACACTGTGTGCGGCCACTGTCATCTGAAAAATCGTGGTCATTTTTCACTTACTGTCCTCCATGGTTTCTTCCATTTACCCAAAACCGTGTATCTGGGCTAGCAAGTATAGGACAGCAGTCTGCATGGGCTAATGAACACGCTTGAGCAGTGGTCTCAATACTCCCGAAGTCTTTGCACTTGTAGAAAATGGGAAAATGATTCTCAACTCACACATGTTTCGAGCTAATAGATTTTGTGTGAGAAAAAGTTAACTGAAGAAAATCAAATGTCAGCTCCCTCACAAGTATTCACACAGGCAGCAGGCTGAAGAGATGGCTCTGTGGTAAAGAGTCTTGCTGAAGACTGAGTTGGGTGTCCAGGACCCACACTGGGTGGCTCACAACCACCTCAAGCTCCTGCTTCATGGGATCTGACACCTCTGCCCTGCACAGACACCTGGACTAACATGCACAAACCCACATTCACATACACATAATTTAAAAATAATAGAAAATGATTCTTTAAAAAAGCCGGGTGGTGGTGGCGCACATCCCAGCACTCAGGAGGCAGAGCCAGGAGGATCTCTGTGAGTTCAAGGCCAGCCTGGTCTACAGAGAGAGATCCAGGACAGGCACCAAAACTACACAGAGAAACCCTGTCTCGAAACAACAACAACAACAACAACAAAGTATTTGTATAAGTAGCAGAATGTGTGGGCATGGTAGTAAGAAGGAAAACCCTGTGAACATCAACAGGACAATGTCTGAAGTATAGCACGTTCCAGCACTGCAATATCAAATACAGACGTTAATACAACATTAATACCGACATTAAATGCAACCATGAGAATATTAGAGAAAGCCTTTGTGTCCTACAGCCTGACTGACTGGCTTCAGTCTTCATGTTCAGGGTACTACTGGGCAGGAAGATAACTATACAACAAGCAAGCTGGAAATCCTGCCTGGCCTTCTCAAGGGAGTGTGGAGCTGTGGCAGGAACAGACCTGGTTTCAAGTTACAAATATCAATAGGCATGGAGAGAGAGAGAGAGAGAGAGAGAGAGAGAGAGAGAGAGAGAGAGAGAGAGAGAGAGAGAAGCTCTGTGTGTGTGTATGTGTTTGTGTGGTTTGTACTCTGTGTATGTATGTGGTGTGTGTGTATATGTGTGTGTGTGTGTGTGTGGTGTGTGTGCTCTGTGTGTATGTGTGTGTGTGGTGTGTGTGGTGTGTGTGCTCTATGTGTATGTATGTGGTTTGTACTCTGTGTGTATGTATGTGGTGTGTGTGTGTGTGTGTGTGTGTGTGTGTGTGTGTGTGTGTATTAGTTACTCTTATCACTGGGACCACACATTGGCATAAACAGCCTCAGGGAGGAAGGGTTTATGTGGTGTATGGTTTCTGGGGATTCAGCCCATGGTTACTTGACCTCATGCTTGTGGGAAGAATCCTAGTGGTGAGAGCACGTGGTACAGGAACATCTGCACTTCGCGTCGTAGGAGACAGTGAGCAGGGAAGGGAGAAGAGAGAGAGACTGGGGGAGACGTTGAAAGCACCTCTCAAAGTAGCACCACTGACTATGACCAACCATTGAACACATGAACCTGTAGGGAACAGTTCATATTCAAACTGTATGGAGAAACCAGAGACCTGGGGAGTGGGGGTGGCATTTGCCCCAAGTTGGGTAGGAAAGAAATACATAATTTTGTTTTGTTCAGATCATATTAAATCTGTCTGCCAACCCTATGGCACTGAATTAGTCAGACACTGAATCCTAGTTATCAGCGGTCCTGCGCCCTGGGTGGCCATAAAACCCGAAAGTCGTAGTTGTCGCCTTGAATAATGTGAGTCAATTTGTCCTTGGGTGCACAGATCTTTGCTGACTAAGGCTTCATTTGAGGAGATTCTGAACCAAGAATGGGCAAGCCCGTTCTCACCCGAGCATTGCCCTGCCTGGGGCTGGCTGAGGAAAAGGCCCCAGGAACAGTTCTTCCCCATTGCAATGTCTTGCTTGCTCCCTGGACAAGCATTCAGCTCTCCCCACACAAACACAGCGCCCAGCACAACTTCTCAGGCGATGGCAGCTTTCAAGCTTCTGAAAGAGAAGAGAGACTCCAGGGTTGCTAGGAAGTTCAGTCACCCGCACATAGCAGTTCTCAGGAGGGTGCTGGTCCCACCTTGTGGCACCATCATAAAAAGGGCTTGTGGATAGTGATCTGGATTCTATGTTTACACCCCAATCTTGCTGCAGCAGAAACTCCAGGGCCGGCTGTAGCTCCAGGTGCCATAAATATGTGTGTTCTGCTACGGCATCAGAGCAAGCCACCCAGAAGCAAAGGGGTTTCAGGTCCTGGCTCATTATATAGCAGAAATATGGGGCTGGAGAGAAGGTTCTGTAGTTAAGAGTACTGGCTGCTCTTCCAGGAGACCTAGCTTAGCATCCCAGCACCCAGCTATCTGTAAATTCAGTTCCAGGGGATCCGATGCCATCAAAGTTTCCAAAGACACCAGGCAAAGATGTTGTACACAGGCATGCATACAGGCAAAACACCCATCGCCAAAAAAAAAATTATAATTTTAAAAACATTAAGTGGAGGAGAAATAATAGAAAGAGAAAAAACAAAACAGCTCTTATTTAGTACCTCGGCGATCAATGATTAACCCCCTCCCCTTTTATAAGTCACTGGGTGCAGTACAGTCTGGACTTAGGAAGGATGAAGGGAACCCCGAGAACTCCAAACCTCACCTGCGAATCCTTACCTCTATGTTCCAGTTGTAAGAATCCAGGAGGATTTATCCCAAGAAAAGAGCACGCTGGTAAATAAGGGTCAACATGCCGACCTGGCATGAGGACTGTGGGCAGCCCTGGGATATAAATCGGGTAACCCTATACAAGGGTCTTACTACTGAACAAGCTTAGACGAGCGCAGAGCAGAACTTTGGAGCACCAAGGTCTCCCATTTTAAGAAAATGCAATACCTCCCCAAATTATGCAACACAAATGCTAATTTGTATCACATTGTCCTGTTTCAACTGTGCCCTAAAAAAGTTTTGATTCATGCAGAAGTACAGAGTCCTCATGTCCATTCTTAACCTAACTAAACATCATGGTTTCCTAATGTGTTTGGCATCCTAGATGTTGCTAATATTTTGGTCCTAAAATCTTCCGAGTGGCTTCTTTTCTAAGTCATTTTGAGAATGTAGCATTAAGGGCATAATTATATGAGCAAGAAATACTTTTAAAGCTTGCTCTCAGTATGACTTTTTTTTAATAGTGAGGTTTCCGAATTGTATGCCTCAAAGGATGATTTCCAGAGTCGGATATAACTCAAGAGTGTCTCTGCAGGCCCATTAGTCACCTTGCAAAATTACATGAACTCTTTCAGGTCCCCCACGGTGGCTACAATTTAGGAATAAATGAATGGATTATGCCTCACGCAGCTGTATTTTTAAACGGTGTATATTAACAGCCAGCAATTGGGGGGTAGTTTGGGGCTTTGGAGATTACAGTCACAATTATTATAAAACGAAAGATTCTCTTTACAAAAATAGAAAGAACAAAAAAATACTAAGCCAAATGCAAACTTGGCCTTCCGTTTCACTTGAAGAAATCCAGACTACAGATCGATTCAAGTTTTGATCAGGATCATACTTTGGTTTCCCGGGCAGCAGAAATTGGATTCGGGTCTCCACACTTTTCAGCACCTGTTAATGGGTGCTACCACCAATTCTTAATTGCTTGCCTAAAAGACGGTATTCGTTACCTCTCGTCACACGATTGCCATCTAGCGGTAACAGTGCTTATTGTCGCTTATTCCGTGACAAAGGCCAGACCAGTAGCAGAGTGAGAATTCATTTGTCTTTCCAGCTCCTGTGTTTTTCAGAAATTTCGTCTGTGTTAACTTATTTAGTCCTCACAATACCATGAGCTGGAATTTTTTTATCCACGAAGAAACGAGGTTGAGAGAGATGAGGAACCGGGACAAAAATCACGCCGCGTTGCTCCCAGGTGCAGTCGCTAGATGGCGCGCTTCCCGGGAGGCGGGGGGCGAGCATCGGTCAAGCTGCTCAGGTCCGTGAGGCCGGGTTTCTCTGCAGCAGCAGTTTCTCCGGTCCCTCAGGCTGCAGTGACTGCTGGGGACAGCCAGTGAGATCCACTGACACGTCACCCGGACCGGTGAGGAAGGGGTGTGTGCTGTTTTCCACTCACACAACCGGTGTGCCTTGGAAGTCATCCAAGCTCGGCCAAGAGTGGGCTGGAAACCAAGTCATCACGCTGCAGGAGAAGCAGCCGCAGGGTCGCGTGGCATGCCCTGAGTCTTCCCTTTAGGCTGCGTTTGGAAACAGCTCTCGGCAGTCTCACACCCCAGTCGATAGCTGCCTCTTTGAAAATGAACCCAGTTTGGGATTGATTTTCTGTATTTGGACTGAAGAGTCTTAATGTCAAAAGTTCACCTTTCCTCCATTCCTTCTTTTCTACTGTCCACTGTCCACACGTCAGTGTTCGTTAGGCTCCTGCCTACAAGGAAGGGGTTACTTCCTAGAACCCACTGCTGCAGCCTTGCAAGTACAGCACTTAAGTAAAAACATCATTTGAAAATTTATTTACAATTTAGTAAATAATTTAAAACGAAGCTTTTACGTAAACTAAAATATTAAAAAGTGTTGTAAATCTTTTTTTC